ATCATGACGGCGATGATGATGGCGATGATGATGAGGATGAGAAGGGTGATGAGGATGATGGTGACGATGCTGATGATGCTGATGATGATAATGGTGCTGCTGCTGCTGATAATGATGATGATTTTGATGACTATGATGACTATGATTGCAAATATGACTTACTGTAAGATGGCGTTTTGCACAATTTTCTGGTTGGACACCGATGTTTATATGCTTTATAGAGTTTGACCGTTTCTCCACTGGTCACTGTATCCTTTGTTAAACCCTACTATGTATAAGATTTGCATTGCAAAAAAATGTTGAAGGCCTGTGGGTTTTCAGGTTCGCGCGAGAAACATGATAGTAATGTGTTGTAGTGTATGTTGTAGTTGTCGCATGCTGTTGTAGCCAGTAGCGCCAAGGCATATGCACAAGATCATTGAGGCTTTGCAAAGATGCAAGGTGCGTAGTATGTCATGGCCTGGCAAGTGGTTGGTTACGCACTGTCAGCTTGACGGAATGGTTAAGGCTAAGGCCAGAATCGTAACGGAACTGTCAGACACCCCCACGTGCACAGCCCGACGTTCCAACTGTTTCATGGTGTTTCTAGAGGCACGTGGAGCGACATGCTTTTCATTGATGCGGTCTCGAGTTGTTCCTTTTTGCAAGTGACTTGGAACATCTTGGAGAGGGGTGTCCTTATTAAAAGTCATTTGTGTCCTAAATTGGTACGACTCGTCCTGTGCTACATAATTGGGAACAATTATGTGGCGTGGTGGCCCACCCTTCCCACTGTTCACTGCATGAACAACATGGGGCAGCCTTTTCCATGAGATCCTGTCGTAGCCCCTCATAGGTTCACAGTTGGATAGTTGGATACTTGTATAGTTCTTCACCATTGGCATTTTCTACGCTGCACGATACTTGTTATAGTTGACATCGATCACATGGCGACCAGGTTGCTGTCTCCGTTCTTTGGTTGCCTTGTTACTCACTGAATCTTTCTGCGGGGAAGGCACCCATGATGGAAGAGGTTGCCATAAATATATAGCAGTGGGATGCAGTGGGTATGGTATGATAGCAGCCTAGCAGAAAACAATAGAAAACATATTCCAGAATTAAGCTCATGCAGTTGGAATAATACGCGCCCCCACTTAGAATATTGACACTTTTATATACATGGAATAGTCCAAAGCTGGATCAATCCCTTAATCCCTTCCATGCGCATGAACATCTTGCTCTTGTTTATTCATATCTCCAGTTTCGTTCTAAGTGCAAGTAAGAAGACTCATGCAGATAGAATATTGTGGAATTTCTGCTGGGGCTGGGGCCTCAAAAAAAAAGGTTTTGGAGCAAGCAACATATTCTAAGTGCAATACCGTTCTGCTAGTCACTTGCACGTGAACCCCATCAGATGGTGGTTGTAACATGCAATTTGGGCGCACCCTAGTCCTAATCGTGGCTCACCACAGCCTGTTACTAGGCCAGCCAACTCGTCTCGCGGCATCTCGTGGCCCAGCTCAACAAAGCACATGGGTTTAGCGAGAGGTTTTTTTGGCATTTGGTAGCGATCAGAGCCTTTGGCATTGTCTGCGTGTCCCACTATCTGAGAACGGCTCATACATGCCGTTTTGATAGAAAAGAGGACCTCAGATCATGCAAGGTGACATTATTTTGTGCTCTTCAGCGAACGATTTTTGTGTTTCAAACAGTTTCACGCTCAGCTTCAGTTGAGTACTTCGATTAGAAGCCCACCAACGCACCTCAATCATTCTCAATTCACTTCAATCCAAATTTGCTGACGGCTGCCCAGCTTTGCTGTCCTGCAACATCTTGCAACCTGATTGTAAATTCCAGCACTAGCTTGAAGGCAACGGCAGATAACGGCAGATCTCACCATATCTCACCAAACATGACTATTAGTTAGGCGGCAACATCCTAAAAATGGCGTCGACTGTGTGAAGACGAATACCCATGGGAATGTCGTTGAGTACCATTGAGCAATGGAGCACCTGTGTGGCTCGTTTATAGTTCATAACTCGCTGCGAACAAGCGATCTTTGTCAGATTTTGTCAGGATTTTTGGCAGGAGTCCTTGGTTGAAAATAGTGAGTCCTGAACCCTTGTGACAGCTTTGTTTGTCCATCTATGTATCAATCAATCTATCTATCTATCTATATACTGCAATTAATTCTAATTATGTCTTTAGCTGGGCCCATACATGCATACATACATGCACGGATACATACATACATGCATGGATACAGACATACATGGACATACATAGACATACATAGACTTACATAGGCATACATAGACATACATAGACATGCAAAGACATACACGGATATACATAGACAATAGACACAGTGGACATACATGGACATGCTACGTAGACATGCAAAGACATACATAGACACACATAGAGACACACATAGACATACGTACATGGACATACATAGACATATACAGACATACGCAGACATACATGTACATACATGTACATACATAGGCATACAAAGACATACATCCACATACATAGACATACATAGACATACGCAGACATACATGGACATACATAGACATACATCGACATACATTGACATATATTGACATACATAGACATACATAGACATACATGGGCGTACATGGACATACATGGACATACTAGATAGGCATGCATAGACATACATAGACATACATAGACATACATAGACATACATAGACACACATAGACATACATAGACATACATAGACATACATAGACATACATAGACATACATGGACATACATGGGCATGCAACATAGACATACATAGACATACATAGACATACATAGACATACATAGACATACATAGACATACATAGACATACATAGACATACATAGACATACATAGACATACATAGAAATACATAGACATACAAAGACATACATAGACATACATAGACATACATAGACATACATAGAAATACATGGGCATACAACATAGACATACATAGACATACATAGACATACATAGACATACATAGACATAATAGAAATACATACACATACATACACATACATAGACATGCATACATGTAAACATACATAAGCGTACCTATACATATACATATGCATACATAACATATTATATATTATTTTCATACTTACTTACATTGCCACATGCACACACACACACATATATATATGGACATACATGGGCATACATGGACATACATGGACATACATGGACATACATGGACATACTACATAGACATGCATAGACATACATAGACACACATAGACACATAGAGACACGCATAGACATACATAGACATACATAGACATATACAAACATACGCAGACATACATGTACATATGCAGACATACATGTACATACATGTACATACATAGACATACAATGCGACATACATAGACATACATGACATAATACGTAGACATGCATAGTCATACATAGACATACGTAGACATACATGGACATACAACATGGACATACATAGACATACATAGACAGACATAGACAGACATAGACACACATAGACACACATAGACATACATAGACATACATAGACATACAAAGACATACGGAGACATAGATAGACATACATAAACATACATTGGCATACATCGACATACATCGACATACATAGACATACATAGACATACATAGACATACATCGACATACATCGACATACATCGACATACATCGACATACATAGACATAGACATACATGGACATACAGCATAGACTTACAACATAGACATACATAGACATACATAGACATACATTGACATACATAGACATACATCGACATACATGGACATACATGGACATACAACATAGACATACATAGACATACATAGACATACATACACATACATAAACACACAGTGTGACATACATAGACATACATAGACATAATAGAAATACATACACATACATACACATACATAGACATGCATACATGTAAACATACATAAGCATACCTATACATATACATATGCATACATGACATATTATATATTATTTTCATACTTACTTACATTGTCACATGCACACACACACATATATATATGTCCGTCTACCTAGTTACGTACATACATATGTATAAATAGGCGTACGCAAATAAGTTTGCGCCAGTTCATGAGCATTTGCAGCCGCACGTAGAATGAGTGCTGGTGGACTTCAAAAAGACCATTTGGTGTTTCATGAGCGAAGGTCTTTCTACTGGCAAACCGCCTGATATTTCAGGAGTTTCTCCGAAGCTCCATCCGTGGAAACGCAGGCGCAAGGGCGGCGATTCTTTCAGATGTTGTACATAATGTTGTACAGACAAGTGAAAAAACATACAGGCAGCAGATGACAGCAGGCAGGTTACCAAATTCGGCAGAAGTCAAAATGTGGCAGCTTGGCGGCGCCTGCGATGCGGCTCCTGTGACTGTTTGCGTCCTGCAAGTGATGTCCATGACCAGCGGCTTCGCTATGACAGCGATTTGATTGTTGCGATGGATATACTCGATACTCGATATACTGGTGTAATTCCTTATTGTATGTGATAAGTGTGTGGTAACCTCGGGTGTTGCAAGATACAATGAAATAAATTTAATGTTCTCAGGCTGGAGTTCGTTGATGTAAGTGTTGACTGACGTTGACTCTAATATCATGGGCTCCGACCAAAGGCAATGCGGCGCAATGTAGTACAAGATACGCCATGATACGCAATGTGCAGATAGTGTGCAGATGATGTGCAGATAATGTGCAGATAATGTGCAGCAATGTAGTGCTGCCCTCTTATGTAACCTTAAAATCTGCCCACACACAATGCCGCTATGTCGTGATGCTGTCTCATACAGTAATTATGTTTTGAGTTTTGACAACTTTTTGGCGTGCAAAGCTTGGATCCTTCCGCCTTTGAGCTTACAGACAGTACGTACGAACAGATACAGTACTGTACCTAAGTATATTCGAGGCCACACACCTGACCTTCAAGCAGTTGCAGAGCCACAGTCAAAGGAGACATAAGCAGATACAAGTAGCATGAAATAGCCCAGTTCCCTATCCGCAGAGTTCTCAGGTGCTTGATATACTGCCACTACTGAGGTCCAATGCCGCAGCCCGGCAGGGCCAAGGCCTCAGCGGCTGCGCCAGTCCCTGTTCAGATGAGGTTCTGGTCATTCCATGGCCCCATGGCCCAAGGCTGGAGCTGATGAGCGCATGCGCCAAGGAGCCCTTGGGTTGACATGCAGATTCTTCCCGCACCCAGTGGATTGGACGTCATGAGAAAGCTTTGATAGATATGCCTGTATCATCCTGTATCTAGATGTCACGTACAGCAGATGTCACTAAAGGTCGGAATTACTCAGGATTTCTTTAACGGAAACTATATGAAACTGTCCGCATTTTCCATTGGCATGAGCTCCTGTTTGGGGTTCACATTTCCACATAGTTCACAATTGTTTGGGGTTAAACAAGTTCTTTTTGGTGGATAAGTGTTGGTGAACCCGCCATGAAGGTGATGTTGCTCGAACAACTATATAAATCACAGTGTCACAGAACCGAAACAATTTTCAGGGGTCAAACTCAATCTTTATATGTTAAACTGGTTAAATCATTTTGACGAGTTAGCCACCCTTTCGTTAACTTTTGTTGGTGGTTGGTGAGTGCATACGAGTTCCTCTGCAGATTTGGCGCGCAGTGCCCGGTCCAAGACCGTTCTCCTGCGAACGGTGCAGCGAAAACAAGGCACGGCAATGTCATGATATCAGGATCTATCAGGTATCAACCAGGGTGACTAACCACTTACAGACTGAGTGGGATGATCCTCCAAGTAGGGATATAACACAATGCATGGTAATTCATGGTATTAAATACATAGCGGGATTGGGGTCCGCTAAACGTTTTCCCCACCGATACTGAGGATTTATGGGGATACGTTTTTTCCCAGCAATGATGGGTTTGTCTCAAGATAAGTGGATACCAAAAATGTTCCGTTTAAGGTGGAAAATGATGATCAGCTATGTTTTTTTTGGGTGGCATTTCCGTCAAACCCCATATGCTTCGGCTATATGTTGATTTGTATTTTGGCACATCTTGGTGGATATTCAGGGCTTAGTCTCAGTGGCATTCTAGCCTTTGTATATGCCCCAATATGCCCCATATGCAGGTGTGCCGCAACTTGTTGCCCAACATGTTGCAACTGTATTCCATCTATCATCTGGGTTTGTCTGAAAATAAGCTGAATCTGGGTATCCCACATGTTTGGACAATTCATCATTGATTGTTTATTGAAGTTAATTTCCTATGTGTGATGGGTTATATAAGTTCACATTCTCATGGGTCAAGTCCCAGTTACCCTCTGGAATTTTAACATAGCCACGGAACATGTCCCACTTGTCGCGGGGTTACCCTCTGGTAATCCAACATCGCAATGGAAAATGAGGATCTTCCGATTGAAACCTCCATTTAGGCCATGTTTGACCAGGTGCCGCTGCAGCGTCGTCTCTTCTGAAGGGCATGGTAGAAGAAGACGTGGAGGTGCCACAGACGCCTCGGGGATATGAACCAGCAACCAGGGATACATGGAGGCATAACATGGGGCGATTTGCCACTTGGAAGTGGATAAAAAATGGTAAACAGATATCTGATGATACTAGTAATTGATGTGAATCTTCAAATGTGAGAGGTTCATCATGCATTGTGACAAAAGACTGCAAAAGGAGGTGTAGGTCTAGGTCATGGATGCCCTTTTTCTAATTACTGGTTGGCGGACTGACACTAACGGAGCACCCTGCATAAAATAGTCAATTGGTACTGCAAATGATACCCAGGTGAACCACGTGATTTTGCATACAGGATGTGATTGGCAGTGTAGGTCCTCTAGGCCAGGTAGGTCCTCTAGGCCAGGTCGGTCCTCTAGGCCAGGTAGGCAGCAATTGCACTCTTCTTGTGGCAAGTTCTGTTTTGAGCCGCCATTCAAGATGCAAAGACGAGTGTAAAATGTGCAATCTGATGAACGGCAACTGAGAGCAGAACAAAGCACCAGTTTCCAAGAAGATCATCCTTGAACGGTAAAGGCTCAGGGAGCGTGCTAGCTGCTAGCCGAGGTGAACGTGTTTCACTACAATACTGTGATCTCTGGATGGGCTGCTGAAGGTGGCTGGTGGCTGTGCCTGTGATTCACTTATATATCCAATTTTATTCATTAATCAAAGGATATCAAAGGTACATTCATGTTTGCCTAGAGCGGACTTGCGCGACAGGAGATCTTGAACGCGCCATAGAGACCTTTGCCCAGATGCGCGAACGCCATGTGAAAGCGAGCATTGTAAGCGGCTCAGCTTGCAGGGCCAGTAATGTAGGCTGCCTAATAATAAACCCCCTCCCTAATTTTTTTTGTTTTTTTTGGGGGCGGTCAGCATTCCAATAGTAAATTCCTGGAACCCCTATTCCTGGAACCCTATGGAGCCCTCTGGACAAGGTCAGAACATGAGTTTTTTGGCAATACTAAAAGTAAATTAGGCTAATTGACTTTTAGTATTGGAGAAAAAACTGGAGTTGGGAAAAAAGTTTCTACTATTGCCATGTTGGGTCCACTATTGGCCATGCCCTCTGGACAAGGTCAGAAACATGCCCTCTGGACAAGGTCAGAACATGAGTTTTTTGGCAATACTAAAATCAAATTAAGCTAATTCACTTTTAGTATTGGAGATAAAACTGGAGTTGGGAAAGAAAGTTTCTACTTTTGACAAGGTATCATTATTGGCTAGACAACATTAGCCAGAATATTGCACATATATATTATATATATATATTATGTATATGTTGTATATATATATATTATATACATATACAATATATATCATTATCTTAAATGGGTCAACGGGTCATTGCTTCTTACTTATCGCACTTTCCATGTCAAAGTTTAGGGGGCAATAATCTAAAAGATTTGGCGCAGTGAGATCTCGCTGGGGACGCTCACCGCAGTTGTGTGATGAGCCTTCCATCCCAAAGACCAGCCGTCGGATGGTGCCTCAATGATTTGATCCATACCCATCCACCAAGCCATTGATTTCCCAACTCTTTGGGGCTTATCTAAACATGTTGCTCAAAATTGGCCATATCTGGGTGCATACATTATATATCATTATATTAATTACTAAAAAAACAAAGATCCCAGCCAGCGGATAAGAACCCATGCGAGTAGGGACCGCTTAAGGTCCCCACGTATCTCCGTCCCTTGGACGTCCTTGGGTGCCTTCGGGTGTCTTCAAGGCTATGGGGCGCTGTGTGGTATCGAGTGGCGCCACGGCATGCAGATTTTGCAGCAACTGGAGGCAGAAAACTTGGAACCCAATGCCATTCTACTGACCTCTGCAGCTGCGGCTCTGCAACAAGGCACCTATCTGCTGCTGGGTTTCATTGAATGAGAACCATTGCGATAGTCACAGTGTTCTGCCTTTAATGACGATATAGTCAACATAGTCATGTAATACGTCCGTGTGTGTGTGTGTGTGTTCGCTTGTGTATTAGGGCATGTTTTGGCCATATACTTGCCAATTTTGCCCTGGCGGAGTTGCAGTTCGCAGCTTGTATATAAGATGTTTAAGAATAAGCGACCGCCACAGCTGCAGGTCAGAAGTGGGAAGTTGCTGTTGGCGCCCTTCATTCTTTGATGATTCGACAAGTCTTGACCAATGTGTTGCATAGCTGCACCGTTCCGGCTGCAGGGTGCCTGCTGATATCTTTTGATAACGATAAGATCCCATAGGATCTTATAGATCTTAGAGGATTTCAGGAGAGCAGGGAGCTCGGGCCTCTAGGCAGAAGCATTTTCACAAAAAAATGACAATGGGAACTCTGGATATCTCTAGGTTACTTCACACATAGAGACAGATATACAGATAGATTCATAGATAGATAGATAGATGAATGATAGGTGATAGATCGATAGAGATAGATGGATGGATGGATGGATGGATGGATAGGTAGATAGATAGATAGATAGATAGCTAGATACGTAGATACATAGATGCATAGATACATAGATACATATAAACATATATACATATATTATACATATATACTGCACATATACACTTATGTGTGTGATATACCTGTATGCCTTTGACGCAACCCTTGGATCGTTTGGAACTGTTGGATTCTAAGGATCTGCCAGAACTCTGTTGCCAATGCATCCGCGAAAGCAGTTCAATGGTGGGCGGCGCTACATCAGCAATCAGCAATGCTACTAAGATGCTCTGTGGTTTGGGGCACTCCCTTGGTTTTCAAATGCCGGAACCTAAAGGGGTCTGTTCTCAGGGTTGACCGTCATTGTCTCCATCAAATCAAGAATAAACATGCCACATTTAAGGGGGTCTCCTTCATGTAAAAGGACACATTCAAAAGGTGTGTATAATGTGGCAGCATGTGGCAACCCAATAGTAAAACTTTACCGCCCATTGTTATTGGGTTTACCACATCATTTTTCTCAAATTCCCCAGGGTAAATCCAGCATTTATGGACCTTCACGGATGACTTTCCCATTAAACCCACCCTTGTCCATTGATTCTGAGGGAGTAAATGGATTTCTTCCTATTTTCAAGACACCAAGACACCACCTCAGCACCCAGGCAGCAGGCCAACATTCCTTTGGATTCCACCAGCTGCGTTTGCAGCCGAAGTGCTTGGAGCAGTGCGTCGAGATCTCAGCAACCAGACCATCCATTTTACTTCGTCTAAAGTAGGAAGCCATAGAAAACTCATGCGTTTTGTGGGGTGCCCTTTTTTCCTATTTTTCCTAAAACAAGCCCAGGTCCTGTTGACTCACTGATTGTTTGATAAAGAAGTACCCTTGAATGATTTGGGGACACCTGAGGTATCAAATGCTGAAGAATGCAACCGCGGCCAGCATCAGGAGCAACCAGATAATGGTCAATTCTGGTGCCGCTGCTTGCACTGATGCGCACCAGTGGAAGCAGGCAGGGATAGGACGGTTTAATGTTGTCAGAGTACGAACTTATGACCCAATGTCAAACCTGCAATCCGGTGATTGTTTTAAAGTGTGCCCCTCAGCCCCTCAACGTCCAGAGAAATGGGGGAGATGCGATATGGTTTGTTCTTTCGGCTTGCCATGCTACTTCCAAGATGGGTTGCCATGGCTCAGGTGATTTGCCTGCTCGAATGGATGGCATCAACATTTCTGGAGCAAAGCGTGGTCAGCATTTTGGCCACCAAGTCATTTTCGTGAATGGTAGCAATGGTGGTTTTTAAAGGTCGCGAACTGGAAAATACCATATTTTTAAAGGTAAATCAGCATACATCATCTATAATTGGGCAATTTTCCATAGCTGTGTTAAATAAGCAGAGGGCAATCTGTGTGGTCGGCATATCCCGTTTGATATAGGGTCACAAGTTCTTCTTCCTATTTGTGCTTTGACAGTTGCAAACGTATTCACCAGATTTCACAAGTATTCAATAGTCAAGAACCCCGCGCAGCGTCAACGTTGCTAGGATTGCCGCAAGTTGCAGAGGGTTGTAAGACATTGCAATCAAGATGTGTGTTTTTTTCTCTATGCAAGTGCGATTTGCAGCTTGTATAGGACACTTAAAGGATCGTTAAGCATCTTTAACATATAGTCACCACATGCGAATTTTTAGAATTTGATTTTAGCATTAAATTGTTTATATTTATGTATATGCACATGCATTTTTTGAAATATATTTACTGTAATACCTCTAGTGAAACAAACACAGTAAGACGGCATCTTGGCGCCTTGTTGCCTGGACCTGTCCAGGCTTCAATACAGCTGTTACTGCTTATGGTAGGCGGTCTTGGAGTCGGGCAGCTGAAGTTTTGCAGGTGCTCTTCGTCTTGGAAATACGACGAACATGCCATTGGAACATGCGGGAATCATTGTGAAACTCTTTTTGTTGCTTGTATTGCTTGTATTTTAGTTTGGGTGCAATCCCTGACTGGTTGACATGGAATTTGATGTTCAATGACAATATATACGCACACACATGCACACACACAGATATTATATATATACACACCTCCGTGTGTGTATCCACATTGCAATATCGATTGTCATGGCGATTTGTGAGGCAAGATAGGCAAGTGCTTACCTGTCTGAAAGTGTGAGGCCGCCATGGAACAGCTCCAACCGAATGTGGTAACCTTCAACAGTAGCATTGATGCAGCTCGGCACCGTTGCAGGTTGTGCATGTCTCCAAGTGGGGGATGGTTTGGACCACTCATTTCTGGTAATTAAACTTTGGGGGTCGTTTGAAAAGTTGATTTTTCTTGGCATTTCTTTGCCATTTTCAAATTTCCAGCCATGATTTACAGACAAAGCTGGCTGCGAACGCGTCCCCCTGGTGTGTTGCCGGACAGGCACTTGATCAGACGCACTGGCACTTTTCGGTGGTCATGTTGGACCGAATGCGCTCGTTGCAGATTCAGACTGCAGCTGGGCAAGAGACTGGGTGCCTAAGTTGGATTGTTAGAAAAAATCTCTGTGCCAATGGAGGTTCCATTTTTATTGAAAGACTTTTTGACTGTTCTTGTTGGACGAGATTGACATGTTGTGTTTGATCATGACGTGTGAGAACCTGGGCTTAGACTTCTGAGGACCAACTGACTCGCAACTGCTTGATCAGCTGCGGTGTTTGGAACTTGGTACTAAGCTGCATCAAGGATGTGCTTGGTTTCAATGCAGCGGCTTGCCTTGATTCAGAGCACGTTGAGATATGTTGAGCAGGGCAGGTGAGAAAATGATCACCTGGGCTCGGGAATGGAACTGTAGCTACTGCATTATAAAATCCTATGATCAGATCATGATTGTTAGACATTGTTATGTACCTAGAATCCAGATCGTTTCCACGCATCTACAGACTATGTTTCGCACTGTCAATGCCATGGCATCAGGTGCCACTCCCCGTGTCGGTGCTGATCAGGCCATGAGCAGCTGCGAGCAGAGCGGACATTGGTGGCATGCCATGGCCCTGTTCACCTCCCTATGTTCCTCAGGATCTCTACGCCCCAGCTGCTTGGAAGATCTCGGAAGCTTAAGAAACAAATGGAAGACTGAAGACTTTGCTCATCTTGGCTCCATCTTGGCTCCATTTTTTCCTTTATTCTTTGGTAATTTAACATAGCTATGCAAAATCGGTGGTTTTTCAGTAGGTAAACCAATGTAAATCACACACACAAGACTATATATATATATATATAACATGAAAGTTTTTTTTTCTCCCTGAGCTGTGCGAAATTGCCAGAGTGGATTCCTCCATTTCAACAAGTACTGCTAAGCTCAAACGTTTTATGAAGTGAGGCTTGGTCTCGCAAAATGCAGCACCTTGGCAGCCTTGCAATGCTGCAGAGCTGGCCGTGTTTGCAATGATTTGAGAACCGCTGAGATGGCTATGTCAAGAACTTCCATAAGTTATAATAAGTTAAGTTAGAGTGATTGCAGAGAGATCATTAGCCATATATAGATAGATAGATAGATATAGCT